GCTGATCTTTATTCATGCTTCTGCACTGCGTTTTCCAGGTCCCATGAGAATTTTGATCGTGGGTACTTTGGTCTAGATTCACCAACTTAAGGACTGTGACTAAAGACTGTTTTTCATTTTCAGATTCTTTAAGTTTGGTGTTTAAATCGGATACTATGAAGGACAAGTTAGCGACCTTTTGCAGCAGGGATTTGTTTTCATCCTTTAATTCTCGATTTTCGTGGAGGAGCGACTCGTTAGCATACGCCTTCCGTTTGTTTTGTATACTAGATACTTCTTGCGTTAACGCACTGATTTTGATGTTAAAGTCCAGTTTCAAATCCTTTATTTTCTCTATAAGTTCACTGCAGATTAAACTTTGATTTGGTTGCGTTGATAAGTCAATTACTTGAGAGCTTGAATTGAGTGTACGAGCTGAGAAGTCTTCGCCTTCAATAATGATTGACCTTTCGACTTCATTATGTATGCCAATGTCGAGGTTGTTTTTGTCGATCAACGATATAGCATTATCTTCATCAGACTCTGTCCTAGCAATTGCTCGCAATTTGTCCTTCAGCTGTTCACAATCAATTCCTTTAATAGTAAGCGAGGACGTATTCGCATACCATCTAATTTTGACCGCTTCGTTCTCGAAAAGCTTTGAGTTGCCTCCTGGCGACGACCACTTTGTCTGGGTTTGTAGTTGCTCGTTGATAAATTCTTGAAGATCCTCAAATTTACCATGCCACTTAAAATTACCCTTCGTTGAGATCGAAAGAGCGGATTGAATTGCAGCGCTTTCAGTCGCCATTAATGGTTATAACTATAATGCACATAAAATTTTATACGGAGCACAAAACACACGTCCGCTCTCAACCACATATGACGATGTATTGAAATTTAAATTAGTGAAAGAGCCAAAGAGGGGATTATATAGGGATTCGAAGTTTGGGAAGGCGGAATATGGGGGATATCCCCACTAGCCCATCCTGTGCGGGCATAGTTTGTTTTGAATTTTCGTATAAATTGAAATATGGCTGTATTTTTCTGTGTTGCCGTATATATTATACGCCTGATTTTGGCACTGGGATTCAACGCATGACGGCATTGATTATTACAATCATATACATGAATTTTGCCGTTTGAATACCATCATAGTGACCTGCGGAGGGCCTACGGGTGAACATGAAAATATTGTAGTTAAAAAACTTCTGGACTCGAGTCTTGAAGCAAGAAAGTTGATACTGAGAGAAACACGACTTATTAATCAATTAAATCATGCAAACATCGTCGAACTTAAAGGAATTTGCCTTGACCGATATCAGCGATATGCACTTCTGATGGAATATGTCTATTTCGATTTTAGGCCCATCGGACACGATTTAATTGTACACAACCTAATATGCGGCGGATATGCCTTTGAAAGAGCCGAAAAGCATATTTTACACCATATCCGCGTTTTACCCGATTGGGTAAAACGCGGATATGCCTTTTAAAGAGCCGAAAAGCATATTTTACACCATATCCGCGTTTTACCCGATCGGGTAAAACGCGGATATGCCTTTGAAAGAGCCGAAAAGCACATTTTACACCATATCCGCGAACGCGGATATGCCTTTTAATGAGCCGAAAAGCATATTTTACACCATATCCGCGTTTTATCCGATCGGGTAAAACGCGGATATGCCTTTTCACGAGCCGAAAAGTATATTTTACACCATATCCGCGTTTTACCCGGTCGGGTTTGAAGCGCGGATATCCCTTTGAAAGAGCCGAAAAGCATATTTTACACCATATATCCGCGTTTTACCCGTTCGGGTAAAACGCGGACATGCCTTTGAAAGAGCCGAAAAGGATATTTTGCACCATATCCGCGTTTTACCCGTTCGGGTAAAACACGGATATGCCTTTGAAAGAGCCGAAAAGCATATTTTACACCATATCCGCGTTTTAGCCGATCGGGTAAAACGCGGATTATTATTATTATTATTACAACATCTTTATACACGGTAACTAATCAACCATATTACCTATCAGTATTTACAAAAATTATAAAGGTTGTTTTTCATTAGGCCGTGTTATTAAATACAAATTAAAACTCGAAATACTATTATATAAACTGTTATAAAAATATTAAAAGATACTAAGAAATGTTTGGGTCGAAGCGATACGTTAAATATATATATTACAAATGAATTAAGTAGATTTAAAATTTTTACTATTATAGTTCCAGTCTTTAGCAGCAGCATATCCGAATGTCCTTTTCATTGAATTTGTTTTAGGCTTCGACAACATCAGCATCTTGTTATTACTTTGAAAGAGCCGAAAAGGATATTTTACACCATATCCGCGTTTTACCCGATCGCGTAAAACGCGGATATGATGTTTAAAACATATTTGAGAGAAAAATAGGTCATCCGTCCGTCCGTCCGTCCGTCCGCCCGTCCGTCCGCCCGTCCATCCGTCCGTCCGCCCGTCCGTCCGTCCGTCCGTATCAGCGTTTTACCCTAACCCAACTAAAGTTGCGTTTTTAGGTCATGTTGTTTGTAAGGAAGGTATAAGCCCTGATCCACTTAAAGGTTGAGGCGGTAGAAAAATTAATGCGCCAACATGTCTCAGAGAACTGCGAATTTTTTAGGGCTAACCAGTTATTATCGCTGTTTTATTGCGAATTTTACGACCATCGCGGCCCTCATGACAAAACTGACAACAAAGGCGGCATCCAAAATACCTTTTAAATGGTCTGAGGAGTGTGAAAATTCGTTTATAGAACTAAAACGTCAGCTATGTTCGGCACCATTACTAGCCTATCCCCAATTTGATCGTGAGTTCACTCTTTACACCGACGCTTCGGATGTCGGTTTAGGCGTTGTTCTCTCCCAGTATGATGACAATGGCATAGAAAGAGTTGTTGCATACGCCTCTCGTAGCCTTACACCACGCGAACGCAACTATGCCACCACCGAAATAGAAGCTTTGGCAATTCATTATGGCACGCAATATTTTCGCCTTTACCTCTTAGGCCGTAAATTCACAATAGTAACAGACCACAATGCACTTCGTTGGCTCAATACCATTAAACCAAAAGGCCGCATAGCACGCTGGTTGATGGATTTACTAGAGTTTGAATTTTTGATTCATCATAGAGCGGGAAAATCTCATTGCAATGCAGACACGTTAAGCCGCCTAGTAAACAAAAAGTGTGATGGAGCAAACGAAACCTCAGTCTCTTGTATGGTTTCCTCAGTAATACAGGACTGGAAAAGACACGCAAAGCTCTTTACAACCCTGCCGCTAACTTACGGTCTTGTATTTTTGTTGTTGAATATTTGGCATATACCATTGAATGGACTATAAAGTTACTATCTTGGCCACGCCAAGCATCCGAGACACTGTCTCTTAACCCGGAAGCGCCAATATTTCAACCCAAAAGGCTGAACCCATTTCGGTTTTTCCCGATGGCTATGATAACATAAACTCCGTCACAGTAAATCCGACAATAAATTTGCATGAAGCGCAACAGCAGGACGCACATATTGCAAAAAGTTTAGACTTGAAACGTAAAAAGAAACCAAGGCCCGATTTAAAGTAGTGGAAAGATGATCCTATTCTTAAAAACTTCTGGTATAATTACGATCGGTTGTTTATACACAACGGCAATACATTTTGGAGAGCCACAAAATAATAAATGGCCTCGCTAGATGTTAATTATGGTTAACAGTTAACACATTAAGAAATACAATGTTCCTAATGCTTTTTTTATTTTATTCTGTCTAATTGAAGGCAATTTTGCTTTGCACACATGGCACATTACCAGGTTAACAGAAATATGGCTATGTAACAACTCACAAATATTGTAGCTCGGTAAACTCAACTCCAAAACATTTTGTGTTACTCAATACTCATTAACTCTTTCTCAGCCGGCTACATTTTTCACGACAAGCGACATTTTGATTCAATTGTTTTATAACGTTAATATTTCAGCGCGTATTCACCCCCCTTTAAAACAAAGAACACCATTGAAATCCTAACAAAATAACCTTTTCATCGGGGGGTTCAATGCCGTCAAAACAAATACACAAACCGAAACAATTGTATATTTACTCACCGCTTGGTCAAACATTCTGTATTTTCATATGGAGAAAAAGTTGAATATCTTCTAAAGGCATCTAAACTCTTCAGAATTCGCCACAAGTTAATATGAGTGAAATATTCCTTGTATTCAAGCGCTTTTATGTAGAAAGTTTCGTTTGAATACGGCAAGTAGAAATGTTTATTTTGAATTTTTCAAAATATCGGGTTTCATCGGGTTTTTTACTCGCACGCGCGTGCTGCACTTAAAATTGGCCAATAAGGAGTACCCGTAGCCCAATGCACGTGAAAATCATGCTGCAGATGTAATTTGACCTATAGAATCGATTGCCGACGTTTTCCGAGCGCTAGGATGTAAACACGCGATGTTTTCGCAAATCTAAAGTGTATTTCCGGTCGAAAATATCCCGCTGACTTCACTAGTATCACAACAGATTGAAATACCAAAATAAAAGACGAAAGACTAATCCTACAAGCTTGAAAATAACACTTTAAATAGTGTTTTAGATTCTGTTTCGAATAAGACTATAGCGAAAACGATATCTTCACAGGGGCCGAAGTTATGTTCGGCGAAAGGTATGGATAGTTTACATTTTTCGAGACAATTGATTAATATAATGAAATATGACACCGCATGACCTCTCAAAAGGTCATAAATAGTTATACAATTTCACTAAAACTATACTTAAATAAAACTATCGATAGGAATTAGGAGATATTGTTTCACTGAATCGAATGGTGGTATTTTCATCTACATAGCATGCACCAAACCGAAGATATGAATCGGCGAAGTCATAGACCGTGCCATAGATCGTGCACGGTCTACGTTTATCAACTATACTTTCCGGCTGCCAATGCTTTTGTCAACCCATGATGTATGCCTCTGGATTAATATTTAATGAGCGCTAGGCTGTATGAGAGGAATACTTTATTAGACAACACACATCACATTTGGCAGATGGAAAACCTTGAATACAATTAAATCTTTCAGTGGTAAATAATAGAATGCATTACTGGTTTATAGCAAACCAGCAAAGCATGAAAGTTTGTGCTTTAAGTACATGATTCAATTTGCGCGAATACTGTATATCTTATTAAGTTAATATTGTCAACTAGTATACTCGCGCGTCTATATAGCCAGAAGTTCAACAAAGCAAAACAATATATATAATCGTTTGCTTTTTGTAAATACGGCATTTTTCAGAATATATTATACAGTATGAACATACCGCATTATACTTTTTATCCCACAACTGATATGCGATGTTTTTTCACTTTGCGCTCTTTCTCGACAGCGAATAATATTTGCAGGCAAGTTCATTATATGGCGGCTTGCTTCTTCCTTGACCCTGACCAGAGCTTCCTGAATTTTTAGTAAGGATATCGCCTTGGTTTGTCTTTCTCTTCTCTCGAGCCTTTTCCGCTTCTTACGGGCTGTCCTCATCCTTTTTTTCTCTTGGTTAGGGCCGTGAATATGCCGTTTAACTAAAGTATGTTTTTCTCACACAATGGTTGTTATTAGGCATAGATGTGGGTATAAACTGGCGCGCGATTTTGCGCCAAATAAGTTTATTAATACCATGCCGGATAATAAAATAAATGGATAGGACTCTCGCTGACGTAAGCAAAAACAACCTAGTTGCAATCTGTGAGGTCACGCGTATTGCAAAGTTCTCTGCATTTTTGTTGTTTCGTTATATTTTCCGCCTTAAAAGAGCAATATTGAAGCATAAACCGGTCTAATTGTTTTAAAAATATGCCTAAGCCACGACAAAGTATTCAAGGAAAATGTTTTTCGTCTTTGTTTTGTATTTTTTTTACATTTGTAGCTACGAAATTGGCGTTCCCAATTTTAACGAAATTTGGGATGCCTTTTTCACTGTTTAGTGCTTGAAATATTTGCTAAAATTGACTGGGAATACTTAGAGATTTCATCGTAGAATGGCGTAGTAATATTCATTTGTTCTTTGACTAAAATGTTTAGCTGTATTATTGCTAAACATGCTGTGTTTTGAGAATTTGGTTTGCAACTAGGTTTCAACATCCAATTACGCCATCAGCCCATTGAAAACATTAGGTCACGTCAGCTAGTTTCCTATCCATTTATTTTATTATCCATGTTAATACATAGGTCTGGTTTGACGTCATCATGCCCATATTTGGTAGGTGCGCAATGAGTAATTTGACATGCATGCAAAGATTTCTTAAATTTCGGGTACATCCTCGGGTAGAAGAATTTGCATCACAGACTACGTCATCAGTTAGTTATAGCGATTAGTTTTGAGGTTAGGGTAAGGGTTAGGGTAAGGGTTAGGGTTAGGGTGAGGGTTAGGGTAAGGATTAGGCTTAGAGATAGGGATTTGGTTATATCTGACGCCACAAACAACACAACTAGCCGATCACGTGATCACTTCTCCTCTACCCGAGGAACTACCCTAAATTTCTTAGGCGCCGTGTACACGATACCAGACAAATTTTCATTTTACAGACAAAAGTTTAAGTATTTGACCACTTATCCGTGCAAGTTTTTGTCCGCCTACGAAAGCGTGCCAGTTTAAAATTGTATCGACCAGACAAATGTTTGTTCGGTACTATTGCAAACGCAAAATCGGAACAAATATTTGTGCGAATACATCTCGGGAAACTTGGAACGTAAACAATGCCCCAAGCAAAGTCTGATCACATCCGAATTCTGCCAAGCAAAGAGCGAATCTATCCAGTATGAAGTATGCCGGAGGTCAAATAATTCGCAAAAAGAATGTGTGCGTCGACAGCTGTGAACAATGATAGCGCACAGGCGTACAACAGGCATATGCAGACAAATATTCGTCCGGCATTGCATTCAGTATACAGGTTTCTATCAAGATAGAAATTGGTCTGGTGCCATAAAAATGGGGCCTTAAAGTGGAATGGTTTGAACCATGCAAATGCCCCAAGATACTATTTCTTTTCAATCGTATGCTTCCATAAAGTTATAATTATTATAGGGAATACATAATGACTTGAGAGCAAAATAACCGCTGCATCTCATCTGCAACATTGAAAATCATATTTAAAGAGTGCCATGGCGCTCAAACAAGTACGAAATTAGTAAATTACGGTATCCATACAATACATGCACGAGATAACAAAATGAATAAATAGTACTATAATACAATTTTGTCCACGATTTCTTATGTGCGCCTTGCGGTATTAATCTGTTTGGTTTTTGATATGGAGATATCTAAGTAGAGTAGGAATTTTCAAGTATTTTACCTAGCTATTGGCTAAACATAATATGCTAACACCTGAAATTTGTTTACAGACATCATGAATCATCAAATTCCATCATAAATTGCAGTAGGGATTCACTTCTTATTATTTATGTTTTTATGGAACGCCATGTGTCCAAAAATTATTTAACGTTAATTATATCATATCATGACTAAAACTGTCATTATATATAATTAATTCTTAATTGAGTCGGTTTTCTTTCATGTACCGAGGTGATTATTTTTAATAATAACCTTGAATATTAATTAGCTAAAAAGATGAAGGAAAACTCAGAAAATCGTCATTCAAAGCAAACGAAACAGACAAAACTTTGTTGGAAAACCTCCTCAATCAAGAATTAAATAAGATAAACACCGAGAATGTCGGGACTTATGTCAGATAATGCCCTCGGACGCTGCGCGTCCTCGGGTCATTATCTGACATAAGTCCCTCCTTCTCGGTGTTTATCCTATACATATCATAAGCATTTGTGTAAGTCCTGATTTGATATATGTATAGGATAAACACCGAGAAGGAGGGACTTATGTCAGATAATGACCCGAGGACGCGCAGCGTCCGAGGGCATTATCTGACATAAGTCCCGACATTCTCGGTGTTTATCTTATTTAATTCTTGATTGAGGAGGTTTTCCAACAAAGTTTTGTCTGTTTCGT